TTGTGAGACTTTCACCTATCACTGGTGTTGGTCCGGGCCTCGGAGTGAGGAAGCTGAGCTCGAGATTCATAGGGACCTACCGGATCCTTGGTAGAGTAGGACCTGTTGCCTACCATCTTGCCTTGTCTCCGAACTTGGCCAACATCCACGACATGTTTCACGTGTCTAAGCTTCGGAAGTACATTGCGGATCCTTCGCACGTGGTGCAATCGGATGATATGGAGGTTCGGAAGAACTTAAAGACTCCCGTCGGACCACTTAAGATTCTCGATCTTGGCGAGAAGAAGCTTAGGAGCAAGATCATTTCGATGTTCAAAGTGCAGTGGACGGGAAGAACTCCTGAGGAGTGTACTTGGGAGCGAGAGGAAGAGCTTCTCCGGCAATACCCCGAGTTTCGGGACATGTATGTTTCTAATTGTGCGGACAAAATTCTTAAAAGCTGGGGTGAATGTAAGAACCTGCACCGTTAATTTAGGAATTTAATTAATTAATTATGAAATTAATGAGATAATTCCGTAATTGACCCTAATAATTATGAGAAGGATTAAATAATTATAGTAAGTGATTAATAAATGCGTACCGATGAAGTATCTCGAAAAATTATGAAAAGTATGTATATGTCGCTAGAATAATATATAGGACTAGCATAACAAGCTTCAAGTTAAAATGATGAGAACAGGTGTCAGAACTGATACTGGCTAAGTAAAAGTGCGTACCGAAAAAGTGCTGCGAAAAATAAAATAAAAATATGAAAAATCTTAGAAAAAATGCTAGGTTCAGAATTCTAAGTTTGGGATTAAAATGCTAAGCGTAGCTATTAGTGCTAATACAGTGCGATTAAAACTTAAGTGGCTTATATAAAGCCTTGACACATGATCCTAGGTCATAATTTTTGTGCTCTACGTGAGTGTTGTTGAACCTTAGCTGCTGCCACCTTCTCCCTTGGTCATTTGTGCTTGAAAACTTCCCAAGTCTTCACCTTTCCTTTTATTTTCTTCATCTAAACATTTGGTTGGGTGTGGGTTAGCATTGTGAAGGAGAGGAGTGTCCCATTTCTGATTCCATCCACTGTCTTGGTGAGGTCTTGGGGCTGACATCATGGTGAGAGTTGAGGGAACCATTGTGGTGGTATTTTGAGCTTCAAGAAGTCATCTTTGGTAAGAAGGGACCTTGCTTGCTTGTCAATTTCGTTTCCTTTGGAGGTCAGGACCTTGGAGCTGACTTGTGAGCTCCAAGAGCCCTTGTGCTTGCTGTTTTGAGCCTTTGGGTAAGCACCATCACCTTGCTCATGACTTTTAGTTGTTTAAAGGTTGAGTCTTGGCATGTTAGTGAGTTAAATAAGTAACCAACCTAAAAGTGAATAAAAATGCATGCTTGGACGTCCTAATGGGTTAAAAGTTGAACCTTTGAGTGATATCTTCACGAAAATGCAGAACTGCATTCTGTTGCAAAATATCCAGATATGATATCCAGATATTGATATCCAGATATGGGGTTGTAAATATTCGATCCGGATATGGGGTTGGAGATATCTGGATATGATATCCGGATATGGATATCCGGATATTTCTCCGACAAATATCTGGATATTCTGGGAATTTCGAGACAATGACGGTTTTGTTCAGACAGAACTGTATTATAGGTTTATGGACCCATAATTGGTTAAGTGAATCTCTGTAATAATTAATCTAAGTCAGAATCAATGGGATTAAGGGCTTATGGCTTTGTGCGAAGCCTAAAGACATGAAACGTAAAGGAAAGCGTGGTCTTTATGTCATATGCTTGTAGAGTATGATTATTGATGATATTGCTGGTCTAAATCAGATTGTGATTCTGCTGTTGTGGACTTTAAGATAGTGTGGACCTTGGATTGGATTAATTGCTTAGAGGTAAGTTTTCGTGTCCTCGGTTTAGCCATTGTTGGTTCCACCATATCCTATGGGGGGATGGTTTATATGCATGATGTGTTTTCATGTATTGATTTTGAAATGCTGTTGAGCTGTTATGTATAAGTGCTTATAATATGCATGTGTTGTTCCACCTAGACGGTAAGCATGTGTATATATGAGACATGCCATAGGGTGATTCTATGGGTGGGTGTAAGTAGTGACTTGCATTAAATGTAGGTAATAGACATATGTATATCCTGCATTTCTCTGGCCAGTAGAATAGTTGACACACATGGCATGATTATTCTGCTGCATTGCACTGATTTTGGAACTTATATTATATTCCTTCTTTTGATCTAATATTGCACATGTAAGTGAGTTTGGGGGTGGAGAAATCCTTGAGGACCCCTTGTCTTACTGAGATTTCTGTTTAGAGATCTCACCCTACGTTTGGGGCACATATTTCAGGTTCAGGTAACTCTGGGGTTGAGACCTCGGGCGGCAGGAGACCGGAGCTGAGTTGACTGTTGTATATCTGCTATGATGATATGATTGGATGTCGTTTATGTTTACTGTCCTTATGTTGATGTTTGAGCTGAGACTCTGTTGGGCTTTGTTGCCTTATTTGGGGGCTGCCCATGCCACATTGATTGACTATGTATTATTTGGATTTGAGTTGTATTACTGTATCAGGATTATGTCTGGACCACATGTTGTAGATCCGTGACTTAGATACTCACATATTTATTCTATGAGATTATTTAGTGTAGATAGCAGTTTGATTGTAATTACATACATGCAATATTTTTAAAAGGATTAAGTAATCAACTTGGTAATGGATAATGACGTCACTGCAAGAAAAATTGTAAATGCCGATGGGTTTTCTGAGGCAATTTACACTAAACCGCCTCCAAATAACTAATAGAGGCGGTTTTGACGGCGTATATATAGACCGCCTGAAAATTGTATCAAATCTGAGGCGGTTTAAAAATAACCGCCTCCAATTAGCTCAATTGGAGGCGGTTTCAGAGGCGTTTGCAATATTCGCCTCAAAAATATATCTATACTGAGGCAGATGTTTCAAACCGCCTCCATATCTTGAAATCAGATGCGGTTTTGGAGGCGGTTTGTATGGTTTTATATGTATTCACATAGAGGCGGTTGTGGAGGCGGTTATATTCTATTTTTTTTGAAAGAACATAAATATTTAATGTTCATGTTTAAATAGTAATTATATATCTATTTCATATTTTTACCATATTTTTCTCATTTCATATTTATATAATTGATAATGGACACAACATAATTATCTCGTGTTATGAAATTGTAAGTTTATTTTCTTTTATTATATAGTTACTATGTTTTATTTTATTAAATTAATTTGAAAAAATTATTTTCATTACAATTTAACATATGGTTTAGAGTTATTTATCATTTGGATGTCGAAGTGGCGAGGCCGATGACGTAGGGGGTGGGAGTGGTGGCAACAATGATGTCGCATAGGTGGTGGAGGGGTGGTAGTGACGATGGTTATAATGATGTGATGGTGGGATGGTAACCGTGACAATGAGGTTGTGGCGGTGGCGGCAGCAGAGGAGGTGAGATTGGTTGGGTTCGGATAAATTTGGAGTTGAAAAAAAAATTGCTTTTTGACTTTTGCTTTTTTTGTGACTTCTCTTTTTTTTTAAAAAAAAAATAGACATCCAAGCACTAGTTTACAACGAGAATATTGATTTTGTTTTTTGAAAAAAAAAAGCTGTTGGAGAAGAAAATTCCATCCAAACGAGTTTATAGTTACCTAGATGGGGTGAATCTTTGTTAATACGCATTAGAATATTTAAATCATTGGTAGATTAATTTTATATAATATATGTAAATCTTTGTTGATATGCATTAGAGTTTATAAATCTAACTCATGAATAATATATATTAGCAGAATAATGGGGCTAGGAGCTTAGGACTATAGTTATCAGTATCTTATGATACACGATACAATTCATACGACACGATACGATTCACAAGCGCAATGATACATATCGTGAGGTGTATCAAAAAAGAGTTTGTATCATACGATACGATACTTTATCATAATATCATATATCATACCATACAAAATTTAAATAAAAATTTGTAAATTTCAATATAAAAAAAATAAAATAAAGATTTGATTTATGGTTTGAATTAAAAAAATCTAAAAAATTATTATTAATGACAAAAAGAAAATAAAAATATGATTTGTGATTTAAACTCAAAAATCAATCTGAAAAATCTATATTAATAAAGGAAATAATTAAATATATATTATAATAAATATTTTCCATTATTTTTTAGTATGTTTCTATTTAAATAATAGAGGCTATAACAAATTAAATTATATTGTTTATTATTTAAATTATGTAATAAAATATTACATGAATAAAGAAAATTAAAAAATTACATGAACCTTTTTACCGGAATCGAACCCTGCACCATCTTGATTGAGAAACTATGTGTCAACTACCGATCCAACTTTAGACTTCGAGATCCAGTTGAAATATTTACATCTTATTGAAACATTTTTCTTTCAGTTTCATTTGGCGGACTAGTTTCCCTCCCACCGAAAAATTGTTTCAAGTAAATTGCCCTAAAGTTTTTTTGTCTCTCTAATTTTCCACCAAGTACGTTCCTTCTCTGTCTCTTTGATTTTGTCCTAACGTTTGCTGAAGGTCCTCGAGGCCGAACTTGGCTTGCTCGTTGCTAAGGTCACCGGTGGTGCTTCGAAGAGCTCTCTAAGAGGTAAAAAGATTTGCTCTCCAAGAACTAGTTTTTCTTTCTGTAATGACAAAGAGGTGTTTGCCTTTATGCTTTCTTTTCATTTGGGCTTGCAGAAAGGTGGTTACGTTACAGTGATTTCTCAATCCCCATTCGCAGAAGGCTTACCTACGTTACGGTAATACCCCAACCCTAACCCCAAAAATGTATATCGTGTATCTTGTGAAATACATATTTGTGAGATCTTGTGATTTCAGTCTTTCTTTTGGTTTATGTGATTTTGAAAAACACTCTATCCAAACACAAGGTCGGTGAATTCTTTCTTGCCTTGCTTTTCGGTGAAAAACACTCTATCCAAACATGATCAATGATGCATTTGGCATAAATAGGCAATGTGACAATGAAGTACAATTTCAGTCAGAGGAAAACATTGCACAAGACTGGGGAACAAATTGTTTTGCAAATGATGAAGTAAATAGAGATAAAGACTTTTTTAAATTAGCAAGAGATGGGGAACAACCATTGTATGAAGGGTGTCATAAATATTCAAAGCTTTCATTCATTATGAAGTTGTATCATATTAAGTGCTTATGTGGGATGACTGACAAGTCCATAATTATGATATTGGAGCTACTGCACGATGCGTTTGAACATGCAAAGATTCCATCTTCATTCTATGAGGCAAAGAAGATTATTACCAAGTTAGGATTGGACTACCAGAAGATACACGCTTGTCCAAAAAATTGTATGTTGTACTGGGGAGTGGATGATGAAAATAGACAAAGCTGCAAGGTTTGTCATGAATCTAGATGGAAACCACCTGTTAAACACAATGATCGTACATGTTCTCAGCAGGGAAAAAAGAAGCGTAACGTGGCTGCAAAAGTTGTTCGATACTTTCCCCTTAAACCGCGTTTGCAAAGATTATTTTTATCAACAAAGACTGCTGAAGATATGAGATGGCATGCGACGAATGGTAACAATGATGGCTTGATGAGACATCCTAGAGACTCTGAAGCATGGAAGAAGTTTGATGAGTTGCACACATCATTTGCTTCAGACCCACAAAATGTGCGACTCGGTTTAGCCACTGATGGTTTTAATCCTTTTGGTAATATGAGTGCTAGTTATAGTATTTGGCCAATCATTCTAATTCCTTACAACAGCCCTCCATGGTTATGTATGAAGTCAATGTCTTTTATCATTTCAACCATCAAACCTGGTAAAAGAATGTCAGGTAATGACATTGATGTGTTTTTACAACCTTTGATCAAAGAGTTGAAAGAATTGTGGCAAGATGGTGTAGATACTTATGATGCTTTTACAAGGGAGATGTTCAAATTACATGCAGCATTGATGTGGACGATTAGTGATTTTCCTGGCTTAGGAAATCTATTTGGCTGGAACACATACACTGGCCTAGCTTGCTCTTCTTGCAACGTTGATTTTGAACCTTGCCGCCTTTATCATAGTAAAAAATGGTGTTTTATGGGTCATCGACGCTTTCTTGACCAAAGACATAGATTTAGGTTGAACAAGGTTCGATTTAATGGAAAGCAAGATCTGCGTAATCCTCCAAAGTTGTTGTCTGGGTGTGAAATACTTGAACAAGTTGCAAATATTAATGTCATCTTCGGTCGGACACCCGATGTTAGTAGGAGAAGAAAAAAGGACGTGCTAGTGACCGTGATGCACAGGGAAACACCCAGCAATGGAAAAAGAAAAGCATTCTTTTTTAACTTCCATATCTGAGGCCTAATTTATTGCGTCACAATCTTGACATGATGCACATTGAGAAAAACGTGTGTGACAATATCATTTACACATTGCTTAATGATGCCTCTAAGTCAAAAGATCATTTGAATGCTCGAAAAGATCTTAAAAGCATGGGTTGTAAGCATGACCTTTGGCCAGATGAGAATGGAAAATATCCTTTAGCAATCTATGCAATGACTAATCAAGGCAAGAAGATGTTTCTAACAACATTGCGAAATATTAGTGTACCAGATGGTTATGCAAGCAACATTTCTAGGTGCATTAATGTCGATTCTATGCGGTTGAATGGAATGCTGAAAAGTCATGATAATCGCATATTGACTGAGCAGTTACTACCATTGGCCACACGAGTAGCGTTGCCTGATAATGTTTCAAGTGTTTTAATTGAGTTGTGTTCATTCTTCAAATAGTTGTGTGATAATGTGTTGAATGTTGCAAATTTGGATTTACTACAAAGTCAAGTTGTGCTCACGCTATGCCACATGGAAATGTTATTTCCTCCGTCATTCTTCACGGTCATGGTTCATGTGATTGTTCATCTTGTTGAGGAAGCTAAGCTTGGAGGTCCTGTGCACTATCGATGGATGTATCCTATTGAGAGATGCTTAGGACAATTGAAATCATATGTGCGTAATAGAGCTCGACCAGAAGGGTCTATAGCACAAGGTTACATAATGCAAGAAATTCTAACTTTTTGTTCGAGGTACATAGATGATATTGAGACTCGATGGAATCGACCCGGGCGGGTAGATGATGTACCTAATGATGCGCAAGCCAAATCACGAGTGGATGAATTGTTTCCCCGGGTAGGAAAGCCAATCGGTGCATCATCATATTTCAATCTTACATCAATGGAGAGGTTACAGGCTCATAGACATGTGCTGACAAATTGTCCACTTGTTGAATGCTATGTCTAGTAAGTAATTCTGAATGATTTCTTTACGTGAGTTATTGTTTTTCATGTTCTAATTTAAGTAATTTTTTTTAGGGAGTTTCGGAGAGACGTGAAGAGGAAACTAAGAAGAACTAATCGAAGTCAAGCTGAGATAGATATACGGGTTCATAGAGAGTTTGTTGCTTGGTTCTCCAAATGTGTGGGTATTTTATTGCACCATAAAGGTCGAGAATATTTATCCTTTTTGAGTTAAATTCCTCGGTGCTAACATTTTACTTATTTGTGTTGTAGATTCCTTTAGATATTGAAAATATTAGAGAATCAGACAAATGGATTATGTTTTCCCTTGCTAAAGGTCCTATTTATGAAGCAAGAAGGTTCAGTGCATATAATGTAAACGGCTTCAAATTCCGAACATTGGATCGAGACAACAACTTAAAAACACAAAATCATGGGGTTTTTGGAACGTTTGACACAAGAAGTTATTCAAGTAGTAGAGATGTCCAAATGATATGTGGAGGAGTTCCTTACTATGGGAGAATCGTTGACATTATTGAGATTAACTGCAATGGCTTGTTCACCGTGCCTTTGTTTAAATGTCAATGGGCTGATACCACTACTCATAGAGGGCATAAAAAAGATAAATTGGGTTTTACCCAAATTAACTTTTCAAAATTGATACATACTGGTGAGAAAGAGGATGATGAGCCCTATATTAAAGCTTCTGAAGGTCAAATGGTTTTTTATGTTGATGATGAGAAAGAAAAGGGTTGGAGCATACCTGTCCATGTAAAGCCTCGAGATTTGTATGATATGGGCGAAGATATCATGACAACCACTGACCTATTTCCATCACAAAACTTGGATCAAATTTTAGTTGATGACACAATAGCTCTACAATTATCAAGACTTGCCAAAGATGATGACACTTCAAATTTGATAGATAATCACAATGAAGATGAAGCTATGGACATATGAATTTTTTGTTTAGAGATTAGGTTATGTCTCTTTATATAGGGTTGTGTCATGTATTTTTTGAGGATTGTATTTTGTATGGTGTGTTGTGTCTACTTTTCTTTAGGACGTGTGTTTTGTTTGTATGTTGTTTTTGCTTAAGACTTAATATTTGCAATTAAATTTCTTAATGCTAAAATACTATGAACTTTTTGCAGCACATATTGTAATTGGATGATTTTTAAATACTTCAATATATGATGCGATGTTATTTTGGACAAATGGTTTAGGTGAAATGGCACGTACAAGGAGATTCGCTGCAAGAAAAGCTTCAACAAGCTCTACAACACCTGCCCACGAAACACAAAATGTACAGCTCAATGAGAGCCGAGAAAATGGTATTCAAAAGGTGGAACAACAGCCACATGAAATAGAAGGCCAAGAAGCTCAAGTTTCTAGTGGTTCCTAACAACAAAATGAAATACCATCTCCCTACAAGGCCAAGAGGGCGTGCAACAAATATTGGGTGGTTGATGTTATGGGTACACAATTTGACATATATATTACATTATTAACCTTTTTTATGTAGCACTATGTCATATATTATAATTCCACTAACAAAAATCACATGAACATTATTTGTTAAAGATGATCAAGGAAGGACTACTGAGGAAAAATTGCGTGTCAGGGATGTTTTGGTACTTGCTGATCACAAGAAAGTGGTGGTGCCATGGAATGAAGAGAATCAGCATGTTGCTTATGACGGTTCACTATTGAATGGATTTTTAGGACATCTTGCATGTAACACTAATGTATTTCCAATATCTTATGATAGGTGGCCTAATGTACATCCCTCGTATAAGAAAAATGCTTGGGAGATAACCATTCAGGTATAAATGCTCTCTGAATTTCATTTACTATGCTTAAATCATAGTGAATTGATTTTTTATATTTTTCGTACTACAGAAAAAGTTTCAGCTCCATCATCATGACCACTATGAATAATGTATGGCAAATATGGGAAAGAAATGGAAGGACAATAGGTGGAGGTTATTCAATTATTATTATAACAAAAATGCAAGTTATGAGCAAAACTTTGAAAACTATCCTGAAGGTATGACTCGAGAACAATGGGCTGGTTTTTTGGCCTATAAGTTAAGCGATAAAGCCAAGGTAATGACATCAGCTTGCATATATTTGCATAATTTGGTTTAGTTGACATAATATCAAGTATGTTTTCCTGGACAATGCAGAAATATAGTTAGATAAACACTAGAAATAAAGCAAAACAAAGAATTATGCATACCCTTGGATCAAAAAGCCTTGCAAGTTTAAAATATGAGCTGGTATTTATGTTAATTACAATCTTTTTTTATGTATCTCTGATCTGCTGTGAATTTAACTAACATTCAGTATACTGACATTGCTTTAGGAAAAATAATATGGACGCAAATTTAGTAGGGGGAGATGTACGCCATTGCACACAAAAAAAGGATGGCAACTTTGTCCATGAGGAACCTAGAGAAAAGAATGTATGTATTTTATTTGTGACTGAGGAAGGTATACATGTTATTTGATTACATGTTTGATGTTGTATTGTAGGACCAATTACTAGCAGAGATGGAGGAAACATCTTCTGAAGGCGAAGCCTATGAACATGTCTTTGGGAAGGAGCATCCTGGACGCGTTTGAGGAATGGGGTTCGAGGTGGTTCCAATTCAAATGAGTAAGCGTTGTGGCGATTCTGCATCATCTTCTAGTGTCGGTCCTTCGTAAGCAGAGTATGATTCGCTTAAAGTGGAACTCAACACTTTGAAAGGAAAAATGGGAGAAATTGAAACCTTGAAAGCACAAATGGCATCAATTATACAACAAATTGGTGCTCAACAACCTTGTCATATAAATGAGGTAAATCTTGGGTCATAATCAAATAGATACTTTGTACTGCACAATTTTCCTTGCAAATTTGTTTCCACTGGTTGATGAAATTAGATGACTGACTTATCTGCATTTGATTATTCATTTCGTATTGCATATGGGTCATGTAGTTTAAACTGTGTTATTAGAAGAATGATTTGAACTATATATCTGCATTAATGTGATGTTGTATATCTGCATTGTTTTTGTCTTATGTGCATCGCATAATGTGCAGATATTATTGAAAGATGTGCAATTTTGCACTATACAGTTAAATACTCGCAATTATATTTGGTCTGGGACCACAGTAATGTAGCAATTTGTGTTTCCTGCTTCTTCAACAGAGGTTGTTCTTTACTGTTTCATCATTGATTAAGTTGAAATAGTACCTTATTAATTGATTCATGTGCTTAGTAATTATTAGATTAATTTCATATTAAAAATGTATGTTAAAAGTGTCGGTGACATTCTTCTCTAAATATACATTCATGAAGAATTGCATATGTATTCAACATTAGAATAAATGCAATTCCCCTGGAGGTCATTACAAATGGAGTTTATGCAAATGACAAGGTAACTGCCATGCGCTTTAATTAACCGGCCAAAATTTCACATAAATAACGATGGAGATATAGGTCAAATCATACGAATCGAGGAGGCTAGATTTGTTTCAAGTGTATTGTTTTCAACGCAGTCAATTTTGGCAGTGACGGTAATCATCTACACACGGTGAACTGAACTAGTCACTGTCTTTTTTTATAGCACTTATAGGATTTTTTATTATTTCATTTTTTGTATGGAAAAACGAACAAGCGTGGGATATAGAAAGTATAAAGCAAAGTTAAGATTCTTTTACTACATGCATGAACAAAGCATTTATCAATTCTGAATTGATTATCTCATTTGTCATGGACACAACTTATAATGAAATACGAAATATGATAGATCATAAATATATTCTGTCATTGTTTTTTTTTTTTTGCCAAGTTTGCCTCTTACTGTATATCTGCATTAATCAATTGTATATCTACAAGTTTGCCTCTTACTGTAACTGAAGGGTTTAGGCTATGTTATTTTTGCCAATATGATTTACAGTTATGATAGTAATTTTGTGTGGGTGAAATGGGTGAACAAGACATGCACTCATTTCAAATCAGGTTGATGTAGCATTTAATGTATGTTTTCATTTTTTTTCAATGTATCAGGTCAC